CGGTCCCGCACGGTTCAAAAAACTGGGACAAGTAACGGGATAGGTCAAATCCCGAATCGTCCCGGACCGTGCCCACCCCTATCCGATATCACTCTCTCTCTCTCTCTCTCTCACCTAAATCGCTGATCGTGAAAGTTCATTGACCTTCAATTACTGCCTTCCAAAGCAGCGACTGGGCTTCGCCGGCGGTCGGCCCCTGGCCGCTCGGCCCTCTTCCCGTTGGCGCTTCCTCTCGCCTGAGTGCTCCGATGGTTGGTTTTAAGGGTCGTCTCCCCTTCTCGACGATTCTGGATCTGGACGGCTACGGCTGTAGTGGTGTGGGGCGCGGTGTGGAGTTGCGAGATGTGTTCGGGATTGGCTAGGGTTGCTCTTGGCTTCCAAGTTTGAAGGGTTGGGGTCAGCTTTCTTGCCGATTCTGGATCTGGTCGCAGAGCCCTTGGGACAGGTTAGGGTTCGGTCGGAGTGGGGTGTGGTGTGGTGTGGTGTTGCGGGTTGGGGTCTGGGCTGCTCTGGCTGCTCACGGTTTCTGAGCAGGTGGGGCTGGGGCTGTAACATCTTCTTGCTCCTTCTCCTCTGATTTCTGGTGTTGATTTTGGGGGAGCGAGCAGGGTGCGGCCGAACTTGCTAGTGGTGTTAGTGGTTCGGTTCAACGGCGGATCTGGGGACAAATTCGGTGTTTTGCGGTCGTGGGTCGAGTCGACTTTGGGTGAGTACCGATGCTTGGGTTTGGGCTCCGTTAGGCAACTGTAATGCAGTTTTTGGGCAGTTTCGGGGTTTTCTGGGCTGTGGGATATTCGCTTTGGGTCGTCTTGGTGTCCGTTAGTTCAGCTCGGTCATGCTGCTTTGGTAGGGCTTAATTTTTGTGATGTTTTAGTATTTCCTTTTCTGTCTGTTAGTGTTGTTTGTGTCTGTATTGTTTATGTCTTGTGTTTTTTGTTTGGCTTGTTGGCCTTACTTGGGTATTATCGTGGTTAGATTTGTTTTAGTTGTTTCTGTTTTAGTTTGTGTAGTTGGTTTAGTGTTGCAAGTGTTGTTTTTCTAATTTTGCTACTATCGGGATTTTAGGCGGTCTTCTGATCTGACCTCCCACTTTTTCAGTTGTTCACTGTTCCATTCAGCTAGGGGCAGTGCATTCGCACATTTATAAATTTTGATTTATAATATCATCTATCATTTCGAAAAAAAAAAAAAAATAATCTATTTTACGACTCCTAAAATCTCCATATCTACGCAAAATACACCAAGCATGCGAAAGGAGATTTTCAATTGGTAGCTTTTCTTATAGCATCATATTGATATCTTTTCTTATAGCACATTTTAAAAAAAGTGATTAAATTCAAAAGGCGCAGTTATAACGAGCTACAAATTTGACAAAAGCTAAAAAAAATTCCCATGCTCCTCTTACTTCAAAGGTGCAAGTTGCAACATTTATATAAAGCAAATAAAGCAAGAAGATCGCCAAATTAAACATCTAACAATATATTGATTTCCTTTATTGGTAGCTTTTATTATAGCATCGATCCTATGTGTTTCTTTTTTATTTTCTCATTTATTTATTGTGTTAGTTGTAACTAATCATTCTTTTCTTAAACTTTTTAAGGTAAGCAATGATAGCATTGCTTTGTTTTAAGTGTGAGAGAGGATTTTGTTTTTATTATGAATGCTTATGTGATGGACCGTCTAGTTTCTTTTTATTTAAGTGTTTTATTTAGTTGTTTTGTTGTGTCTTAGACCGGTTGATTTTTAGGACTTTGTGTGTTTGCGTCAAACTCTCTCTTACGAATCTCAATGTTTGGTCAAAATTGCTAGTTGTGAATTGAGAATGTTGAATAGTTTCATTTTTAATTATCGTGTCTTATGTACTTGATGATTGAGATGCCGGCTTCCTCAATTAAGTGACGGTTAGTTGACATAGACACCACATTGAATTCATAGAATTGTTTTGTCCCTTGTTTGTTCTCGATTGGTTATTTTGAAACGTTCTTCCATTGTGCTTGATTGTAGTAGATGTGTTGTCTTATGCTATTGCGGTCATGTTGGATATTGATTTTTATGCAATTAGAGTCATGATGTATCCTTGTATTATCACTCCATTAGTAAAAAAAGAGAACGAATAGAATATAAGTTCGCGAGGAAGTACGGATTAGGCTTCGCTTGTCCCAATTCACATGGTGCAATGGGATAATGAGCACGGAAAACCGATCTAAGAGACTCGAAGAAACCCCTCGAGGGTACATCTAGATAATAATCGTCCAGAAAGTCAGAAACCTTGTTTGGAAAAAGTTGCTACCGAGAAAAAAAATAAATGAAGAAAATGAGTTCGTGAGAGTTGAAAGGACTAAACTCCGTTTGACCTGGTTCATCTCCTTCTAGACGGATCGGGTCAATGACTACAGGAAACTTGCCTAGAAGACTTGGGGACAAATCCCGAGATTAAGCCTAGGTAATAATTGTCTTAACGACTCTCATTTGAAAAAAGAGACTCGTTTAAAAAAAAAAGAAGAAAAAAAAAAGAGAAAAAGAAAAAAATGAAAGGGAGTTGACGTTGTTGGTCTTGCGCTTATCATTCTTGTATTTGGTTAGATCATGTATTGCCTCGGATGTTACTTAAAGTCGTGAGTAGATGCTTTTTTCACGTGAATTTGGTAAAAATGGTGTTTGAATCGAGCAAATCGGGTGTAGAATGACTTGAGATAGTTAAAGGGGAGTTTGGGTCGAGTGAATATATACTAATGACCAATAACTCCCAAAAAATGTTGATTTTGTGGCAAGAAACAAAGCAAAAGTGGAAAAGAAAAAAGTTGCTGAGAAATAAAGCTTGAAATTCATGTGCAATGTGGAGCAGATAAGTGAATTGTGAAAACATTACAATAAAAAAGCTTTTTCATCATTTTTTTATTATAATAATGTAAAAAGTATACTATTGCTGATTTTCTAGACAAGTTATCTCAAAAATATTCACCTATAATCAGTTTTCAATGCTCTAATATCTATAGACCATTCCTCAATAGTTATCCTCACATGACTTTATATACAAAGACCTTTAGAAAACAATAAAAGAAAGCACTCAAAAGAGAGTAGGAAAAAAAAATTGACAAATGTATGGCCAAAAAGTTGGTTTTCCACATCCTAAAACAGTGTTGCACAGAGAAACATCTCATCCCCACACCAATCACCATCATCTCTTTTTTATATGTAGCAAACCAACATTGTAGGAAACCCCCAAAAAATCCTAAACAACACCTAAAATTACACAAATAGTACAAACAATCTGGTGGCAAACTGGCAACACATTAACCTCTAATAATCAACCCTAGTGAAGTTAATATCCACACAGTGCCATTCTCGAAAGGATTAGCAACATAATTAAATGAAAACTAAGTTCCACAAACTTATCTAAGATGAAGTTTTTCATTTCCATCTCCAATAAGCAACCAACAAAGCTCATGCTCGGCATAAACTGAAAGACCAAATCCAACCAAGCAAAACAACTTAAATAAGGAAAAAAACACAAATTATTAACCATATTACAATTTCACCATCACACTTCTCATTGAAAATAAAGCATAACAACTTATGTCATTCAAAATACATCTTTCATTGAACAATATTATGCTGTCATTCAATGCAGCATAACATACAAAAATACAACATAGCAACATAAATAGGATCCCACCATTCAACATCTTCACTTTGCCAACATTCAAAATTCTGATACATAATACTTCATAAATAAGATCCTACATCATCTAATACAGAACACTTCACAATGTCACTGAAGCATCTTCAGTTGGTTCATTCCATTTGGATTCTTGTTAGCAACTTTGAAATTGGATAATATGGTAAACACGAATTGAGTTTAAATTGCATTTTATCAAGAAAAATACCACAAATTACAAAGTCTAAAAACATGTCCAGTACACGATTTATTTTACGCTAAATTTAATAATAGTCCAATAGAATATATCTACGCAAAATACACAAGCATGCTGAAGGAGATTTTCAATTGGTGGCTTTTCTGATAGCATCCTATTATATCTTTTCTTACAACACATTTTAGACAAAAGGTGATAATTCAAAAGGCGTAATTATAATGAGCTACAAATTTGACAACAAGCTCAAAAAAATTCCCATATATGTTCCTCTTACTTCAAAGGTGCAACATCTATATAAAGCAAGAAGATGGCCAAATTAAACATCTAACAATATATATACTTATTTCCTTTATTTAAAGTTAGAATTACAATATGAAACTTCTCTCATTTATATTTTTCACTATTTTGTGCCTCACAACATTTTCGAATTGTTATGATGAAAGAGGCCAACATCCTCTTCAGATGCTGCTAAGGTCGAAAATCTTGTCACAACATCAATATCTTCCAGATGTGGATTTATCAATCGAGCAATCCGAGGTGTATGTAGCATGCCAAAAGGGCAAGAAAGAAGCTGACAAAATCGAAGAGTTGCCGGGACAGCCATCTGTCAACTTTAGCCAGTATTCGGGTTATGTTACTGTTGACCCAAAAGCTGAAAGAGCCTTGTTTTATTATTTTACAGAGTCGGAGGACCCGGAAAATACACCTTTAGTGTTGTGGCTAAATGGAGGTAAGAGTAATATAAAAGTTAATGGGGAAAATGCAATTGTGGTTATTACACGGTTGTTTTCCATTTTTATGTACTATTTATTAGAGATTTAATACAATACTAGTATTCGACCCTATGCATTTGCACAGTGTAAATAGAATATTGTAAGTTACATTTATGCATATCTATTACTATATAATACGGAGAAGGAAAAATGTTTGAATAAATATTTCATTTCCCGCTTAAACATCATTTTTTCCCTCTCAAATTTTTCGAAAATTACCTGTTTTGGAAACTCTTTTTGAATTTTTTTCATTTATCCCGCCTAACTTAATTTGATTTTGGATGTGATTTATGGAAATCGGATTGTTTTATTTTAGGATAAGATTTGATTGTTTTTTTGTTAAATTTGTTAATTCCTTTTCTTTAGGATGAGATGAGATTTGTTACCATTTTTTTAAAATCCGATTTGGTACATTTTTAATTCACTCGCTTTTCCTTTTTTTTTACGTTTTATTTCACTCGATTTTCCTTTTTTTTTGATGGGTTGAGATTTGGTAAATTTTGTATTTTTAATTTTTTTAATTTTAATTCACGTTTTTAATTTTAATTTCACGTTTTGAATTTTTTCCTTTTAATTTTTTTTAATCCGATTTTTTTTTTCAAACATTCGGTAAAGTTTTTTTTATTTTTTTTTCATAATCCCGCCTACATTTCAATTGTAATTTATTTGGACGTATATTATAATCCTTTTTTTTTTTAATCGATTTGGTAGGAATCGGATATTTCCTTTTTTTTTTGGAAGGGAGTTGATATAAATCGAATAACATCAATTTAAGTTAATTAATTATGAAATTTCATTTCCTTTTTTTTTTCAAATCTGATTTATATTATATAGATAGATTTCACTTCCTTTTTTTGTAAGCGATTACCTTTTTTTTTGGTAAGCGATTGTTTCAATGAAACGTGCACTAAGATCGGGTTGACCGAATTAAACAATTTTGAATAATATTAAATTAATCGATTACTATTAAATTAATTTTATTTGATTTTCACGTCTAAAATTTTCCAAAATACTATTTTTATTCTTGTGGAAAATGGCGGTTGGATGAAAAAGTCAAATTCAAATTAAAAAAAATTGTTATTTTGAAAAAGATATTTTGTAAACCCTAATTCATAAAAATATGGTCAATGATAACTTTAAATACAACGGGTAAATATGGTCAATGATATCATAAATTATATTTTATATTCGATAAGTTCAACTTAATTGATGATTTTGTTTGTTAATATTTGCTTAACTACAAAATATTTTAAAGTTTATAAAGAATCTCATTTTATGTAGGTTCTTGGTACTTTTTTATTTGTACATATTCATTTTTCATCCCATATCCAAATACAAATTTAAATGCGGATCTTACATGTTTATTAGAAATATATGTATATTTTTTCAAAAAGTATGACGATCATATAATTAATTTTATCATATATCATATGTTGGATGTTATTAGTTTGGTTGGGACACTCATTATATTCAAATAAATAATATATAATTTTTCATATTTACTATTTCTTTTTTTATAATAATAAGATGTTAAACATAAATAACTATGTATAATATAAAGTCTTAGAAAAGGTTTTAAGTAAAAACCCCTCCGTGCAGCGCACGGGATACACACTAGTAGTATTAAAATTATAAGTTATATAACGATATTATATTTTAAACATAGAGTATTATAAGTTATATTTATGCACATAATAATAAAAATATAAATTAGATAATGATATTATGTTTTAAAATTTGATCATTGGTTAAAATAAATAGTACATAACTATTTGATTGCATATGAACCACTATATTAATTACATATAATAAATAATGTAATTTTGAGAGATCGATAATTTATTAGCTTAAAAATATTAAATTTATTATAACATTTGATTATACGATTTTAAGGAATTTTACTATAACATTAAAATAAATTAACTTATTTGAAAATACAATCGCTGAATAAGATAAAAAAATATATAATATTAATTTTATAATAAATAACTTTAGCAAAAAGTTTACAATAATTTTTTATGTTTATGTAACTTTCATGTATCATTTAGTGTAAACTATAGTTAATAGTTTTAATAATTACTATTATATGATATAATAAAATAGTATAATTATTACTCCGTCAATATAAAATTTAATGTTTTTGTCTTAATTAACCCTAAAAAAAGTGCAATGAAATATTTTAGCATTAATTAGATATGGTGGATTAATAATAATAATAATAATAATAATAATAATAATAATAATAATAATAATAATAATAATAATAATAATAATAATAGAAGATTGTAACATAAAAAGATGTTAAATAATAATTAATATTATTAAATTTATTGTTAGTAATTAAATATAGAGAGAGATATATAAATGATAAAGTTTGTAACGGTTTTTTGAGGGAAATTGAAATGAGGTTTTATTAAATGCTATTAGCTAGTAATTATATATATAGATAGGGATTGGTTCCAATGCATCCCATTATTTAAAGTGAGGACGTGAGACTCATTCCTAGCCACAAGATTTAGATCTTGATTTAAATAATAATTTTTTATTTTTATTATTTAATTCTTTATTTTTAATTATTTAAATATTATTATGACCATTGACCGTTGACTCCGGCGTTGACCNACAAATAAAAATAAAAATAAAAATAAAAATAAAAATAAAAAAACAGAGTCTGTCTACGGGCTAACAGGTGCCCTAAAATGAAAATGAAAATGCGAATCCACTCAAATGACAAAAAAAACCTAATCTACTGACAGCGGAAAGACGGGTATCCAAGCTGGTCCATCCGAACAAGCGTGCGAAGGCGGAGTGGAGCACTGTCTGTCTGGAATGTATGTATATCGGGTATGGTGGCACCAAGACTGGCAAGGTAGTCAGCAGGTCTGTTCCCCTCACGGAAAATATGCGTAATCCTGTGATGGACTGACCGAAGTAGATCTCTAATGCGCATAAGCGGGTGCTGGATCTGCCACGAGCCCTGATGGCCCGAAGTCAGGAGGGTGACGACAGCCGCAGCATCCAGCTCGATCCATATATGACTAGAGATGTGGGCAGCTATCTGAAGGCCAATCTGTAGTGCCTGAATCTCTGCGTCGTAGCTCGAGGAGGCCTGAATGGACGCGTGAAAGGCGGTGATGAGGGCTCCGCTATGATCCCGAATCAAGCCTCCTCCTCCGGCATCTCCAGTGTGGCAATCGAAGGAGCCATCAGTGTTTAGCTTAACCCACGGAGAGTCAGGTCGAAGCCAAACAACAGCTCTGGCCCGAGGAGTCCGAACAGGCGGTGGTGGGGCCACCATGTAGCGATGCGGTGGCGTGCAGCCTGTCCAGTCTCGGGCCATGAGCCTGCCCAATGAGATGAGGAGTGAAATGTGTCTCTCAACCTGCAAAACAATGTGAGAAAACATAAAAGTAATATCCCTATGCTTCGCACTATTCATTTCTGTCCAGGTGAACCAAAGGATCAGACAAGGAATGAGGAAGCTCACGTGTCTAAGGTGTGTGCTCTGTGAGAAAAAACTCAGGAGCTCAAAAAAACTGTATGTGGTGGGTAGGGATATATGAGTCCAAGTGGCAAAATGCTCCCACACTCTTCTCACACTCTCACTCTCTAGAAAAAGGTGGGTAAAGGTCTCAGTCTCATGGCGTCCAGTCTCAGAACAACACACACACCGAGAGGGGAAGGAGATCCCCCTCGCGTGTAGCACAGTATCAACGGGTATCCGGCGCAAGAGGAGGCGCCAAAGGAATACCGAAATAGTAGATGTAAAAAGGTCACTCCAGATAGCCCCGAAGAGTAGATTAGGCCGATCCCTCAGCCTTATCTGCTCCCAAGCAGAGGTAGTAGAAAACACACCTGATGATGTAAGTCTCCACCTCATGCTATCTGAACCGTCCTCCGAGATAGGGATCTGCTGGATCTGATCTAATAACTGCTCGCTAAAACCCGCACCAGTCCCCAACTCCCTATCAAGCTTCCCCCTATCCCACGACCCGTCCGTCCAGAGGTCGCTCACGAGCAGGTAGGGGGAATGCGACACCTGCCTATCCCTAGACAACGGCTTATCACCTACCCACCACTCATCCCAAACACTGACATCGCCCCCACCCAAAACCCAAAAGATGTGATCCTGGGCTCGCCTCCCGACCCTAGTGAGGCGCCGCCACTGTCTGCTATCACGATCAACAGCCGTGACCCAACAAGGGTGGTTGGCACGTCTAGGGCAGTACTTGCCGCGAAGGTACTGAGCCCAAAGCGACTTTCCTTCCCTGAAGCGCCACCACAACTTGTATGAGAAAGCTGTAACAATGTCTCTAAGGCGGCGGATGCCAAGGCCACCCTCTGGGAAGGGGCGGCAGATAGAGTCCCAACTCACCCAGTGAGTACGTCTCCCCCTCCCAGACCCGTCCTCATAACCCCAGAAATAACGAGCCATAATCTGATCAAGCTCGTCAAGAGTAGACCTAGGGGGGTCGAGGACCATAAGCAAGTGAATCGGAAGAGAGCTAAGGGTGCTCTTGATCAGCGCTAGCCGACCACCGAAAGAAAGATATCTATGCGACCACCCAGAGATCCTGTCAATCATCCTCTGTCTGACGCCCGCAAAGAGCGCTCTCGTGAGGTTGCCCTTATATAAAGGGACCCCGAGGTAGGTAATGGGAAGGTCACCACGCGCGAAGCTAGTAATGTCGTGGACCCGCTGAGCCCACCTGTCCACTGTGGCAGATGAAAGGATGAAGGTGCTCTTCTGCACACTGACCAGCTGACCGGTAACCAAGCCATAGTGCTCCAAAAGGCGCATAAGCTCAACCAGTCCATCATCATCTGCCCGGGTGAAGATAATGATGTCATCCGCGTAAGAAAGGTGAGAGACGGTAGGACCATAGCCACAAGTGCTATAGGTCATGTGGGGAGAGTCGCGGATGAAGCCGTCAAGGCAGCGGGAGAGGTAGTCCGCCGCAAGGACGAAGAGGGAAGGGGAAAGAGGGTCGCCCTGTCTAAGGCCTCTAGATGAGGGAAAGAAATCGGTGGGGCTGCCATTAATCAGGACCGAGAACGTGCAATCTGATGCTGCTAGGTTAGTTGTCTTTTGTTGCTAGGTTATTTCTTTCTTGCTGCTAGGTTAGTTGTCTTTTGTTGCTAGGTTATTTATTTCTTACTGCTAGGCTAGTTGTTTGATGCTGCTAGGTTAGTTGTCTTAAGTTGCTAGGTTATTTCTTTCTTGCTGCTAGGTTAGTTATCTGTAGTTGCTAGGTTAGTTATCTGTAGTTGCTAGGTTAGTTATCTTTTGTTGCTAGGTTATTTCTTTTTTATTTCTTTCTTGCTGCTAGGTTAGTTGTCTCTTGTTGCTAGATTATTACTTTCTTGCTATTGTTAGGTTATGTTGTTTCTTTTCGGTTAGTTCTTTCTTGCTGCTAGGTTAGTTGTCTTTTATTGTTAGGTTAGTTGTCTCTTGTTGCTAGATTATTACTTTCTTGCTATTGTTAGGTTATGTTATTTCTTTTCGGTTAGTTCTTTCTTGCTGCTAGGTTAGTTGTCTTTTATTGTTAGGTTATGTTATTTCTTTTCGCTGCTAGGTTAGTTGTCTTTTGTTGCTAGGTTATTTCTTTCTTGTTGCTAGCTTAGTTGTCTTTTGTTGCTAGGTTAGTTGTCTTTGTTGCTAGTTTAGTTGTTCTTTCTTGCTGCTAGGTTTGCTAGGTTAGTTGTGTTTTGTTGCTAGGTTAGTAGTTTAGTTGTCTTTTGTTGCTAGGTTAGTTGTCTTTGTTGTTAGTTTAGTTGTTGCTAGCTTAGTTGTCTTTTGTTGCTAGGTTAGTTGTCTTTGTTGCTAGTTTAGTTGTTGCTAGTTTAGTTGTTCTTTCTTGCTGCTAGGTTTGCTAGGTTAGTTGTCTTTGTTGCTAGTTTAGTTGTTCTTTCTTGCTGCTAGGTTTGCTAGGTTAGTTGTCTTTGTTGCTAGTTTAGTTGTTGCTAGCTTAGTTGTCTTTTGTTGCTAGGTTAGTTGTCTTTGTTGCTAGTTTAGTTGTTGTTAGTTTAGTTGTTGTTAGTTTAGTTGTTCTTTCTTGCGGCTAGGTTTGCTAGATTAGTTGTGTTTTAGTTTAGTTGTTCTTTCTTGCTGCTAGGTTTGCTAGGTTAGTTGTGTTTTGTTGCTATGCTAGTTTAGTTGTTCTTTCTTGATGCTGCTGAGTTAGTTGTGTTTTGTTGCTAGGTTAGTTGTCTGATGTTGCTAAGTTAGTTGAATTTTTTTGGTTAGTTGTGTTTTGTTGCTATGCTAGTTTAGTTGTTCTTTCTTGATGCTGCTGAGTTAGTTGTGTTTTGTTGCTAGGTTAGTTGTCTGATGTTGCTAAGTTAGTTGAATTTTTTTTTGTAGTTGTCTGATGTTGCTAAGTTAGTTGAATTTTTTTTTTATAAAAAAATTGTAACCCATAGGATTTGAACCTAGTACCTAATGGAGGTAAGACAAGCAATGCAACCACTACACTACTCAAGGTTGAGTGTCTTTTGTTGCTAGGTTATTTATTTTAATACAACGGGTCAACACCGGAAGTCAACGGTCAACACCGAAAGTCAACGATTCTCGTCGGAAGTCAACGGTCAACGCCAAAGTCAACGGTCAACTATTTTATTATTTAATTAATGTATATTTTAATTGATTTTGATCTAGACAAAATGAGTGGCTAAGATTGAGTCTCACGTACTCATTTTAAGGAGTAGTCTCATTGGATCCATCCCCTATATAGATATATCTTTTAATTTTTTGTCAATTCTGGTCAATAATTTTTAGGATTTCCATTATACAATAATTTTTTTAATGTTGAGGTAATTTGTCTGATCTTACTATTTTGCATTTGTTCAAAGATCTTTTTGCTTTTGTCGTTTTAATCTCTGATCGATGAAAAATCACTATAAAAACTTTTGAAGTTTGACCGTCGAATTTTTTCAAACGTTACCTTTCTAAAATTATTGTTTCTTAAAGTTTCATCAAATGATATATTTTGATTTAAAAAAAAAAAAATCAACTATTTTGGACACTGAGAATTCAATATTGAAGTTTTAGCTTATCAGCAGTGTTAATTTACTTTCAACCTCTTACTTATAACTAGTGAATGTCCTCTTATGTTGTTAGTCTTTTTTCTGTTTACAAAAACCCCTCAATTAATTAGGTGTTGTGCTCTTAGGGAATGAGAATTTCAATTTAAAATTCCAACTATTTTTTTTTACGCGAAATCGACACAAAATAAAAGTTTTAACATATCAAATGATTCAAATCACAAACACAAAAAGTTATTGGACCAATAAAAAAAAAACAACAATAATAAAATTAATTGCAATTTTCCCTAATTTTTTTTTTCATTTAACGTGTTAATAGTTAATTGAATAATTTGCATAGCTTAATGATTTATATTTTTCTCCCATTGCCAACCATGGAACTGCAGGCCCCGGTTGCTCTTCACTTGGAGCGGGAGCAATGTCAGAACTTGGACCATTTCGGGTCAACCGGGATCGAAATACACTACAGTGTAACGAATATGCGTGGAACAAAGGTAAAAACATGAAAAAAAAAATAAAATAAATAAAGTATAAAAAAAAGACTAATTATTAATTAAACTCAACATGATTTTGATCATAATTAATTCTCTAAAATATAAACTTATTTATGCAGTTGCAAATGTTTTGTTCTTGGAGTCACCTGCTGGCGTTGGGTTTTCATACTCAAACAGAACGTCAGATTATGTTACGGGCGATGCAAAGACAGCGAAAGATACTTATGTCTTCTTAGTTAACTGGCTCGAAAGGTTTTCCGACTATAAAAATCGAGCATTATACTTAGCGGGAGAAAGTTATGCTGGTCATTATGTACCTCAGCTGGCTAGTTTAATATTGGATCATAACAAGATCAAGAAGCCTACCATCCTTCACTTGAAAGGGATTATCGTGAGTTCTTGATCATTACTTACTTTTTATTTATGTGCACGCGCGCCTTATAGTTAAGTTGTGGAGAACTTCTAACATATTAGCTTCAATTTAGCTATTAAAGTATCCGTCTTTAGAAATTGTTCTTGCGCAGTTTGATTTATAAACTAGTACTGTGAGTATATATATATATATATATATATATATATGTGAATTGAAAAAATCGAACCGAAACTAGGTTTAATACAAACGCGCCGCAATGTAGGAAAAAATTGAACCGAAACTTTTTTATTGTTTTACATACAAAAAAACTAAGGTTTGGCTCGTTTTTTCGGTTTCAGCTCGGTTTTCCTCACGCTACTCGTTTCTCGATCATGAACATGAAGACACCTTGTTATTTATTTATTTATTTTTTTTCTTTTTGCAGATTGGGAATGCTGATATTGACGAATCAGATTGGCATACGGGCACTTATGATTATTTGAGGACTCATGCACTTATACCTTATGAAACTCACAAGGGCATCATACAAAATTGCAATTTTTTTTTCAACACCAAATTTTCAAGTGCCTGCATAAGTTACATCAGGATGGTCGATGAACAAATTGGCAACATCAACTTATATAATATTTATGCGCATTTATGCAACCTCTCTTCAAGTGCTCCATTGGTATTATTCCTTATTCCTACTTAAAATATATATATATATATATATATATATATATATTATTTTTACTTAAAAATTTTGCATTTTGTTGTAGCAAATGTCAAATTCTGATCCATGCTTAATCAAGTATGTATCCACCTATTTAAATAAACTTGAAGTGCAAAAGAGTCTTCATGTGAATTTGATTGAGGGAAAGCCCAGGCCATGGAGTGAGTGCAGGTATATAAATATATATTGTTTTACCATACAAAATTGTAGTCAATTATGATATCTATATATATATAAAGAGGTTGTTGGAAAAATACATTAATAGAAAGTTTGACCAAATAAATATAATGTTTGACTTACTATTAATGGAAAGTTAAAAAAAACACATGTGAATCTTTAGTAACAAAATCTAAATCCTATTTTTTTGGTAACAAATTTGGAGATTCTTATGGCAAAATTTGAATAATTTGTTAACTAATAACTAATAATATGCAATTTTGGATAAATTCAAACACCTATTTAGTACTTTACGTGCCAAATAATCAAATCAATAATGTTGTATATAAGGAAGTGTTTAATAACATATAAATTTCATTTTCATGAAATTTTTAATGTCATGAGACAATTTAAATACAAAAATATCATTTAAAAAAAATATATAATAATAAATGCTCCCGTGCATCGCACGGGCACCGTACTAGTTATTATTAAACAAGTTTGTTGTTTATAAATTAAAGTTAATTAACTGCCTTGCAGCAAAACAGTAAATAGTAATTGGACTGGTACAGCTATCACAATATTACCTATCATTAAGAAGCTGATTGCTAAGGACGTCAGAGTTTGGATCTACAGGTGATCACATATTATATAATATATATATACTGATTTGAGAATAAATTATTGTCTCGTCATGCACATTTGTTCAATAAAAAATTGCGGTTAGGATTAAAAATTTTGGCCAAATAACAATATGTTCATATTTATATATTCCATTAATATCCAAGATGAATTTTGAATTATTCAACTCATGTTCAAATTTTGACATTTTTGGCAGTGGAGATGTAGATTCTGCGGTTTCTGTGACATCAACAAAGTTATCATTGAACAAAATTAATGCTTCTATTCAAGTTCCATGGTATCCTTGGCACACTTATGGTGATGATGAGGTAAAAATATCGAGTTTCAAAGCCAACAATTATTTCATTAGAGAAATAAGTATATTTTTTAAAAAAAAAATAAATAAATGATATATTGATGTCAAATATATTTATTTTTCTTTTAAAATGGTTCCATGGATCACAAAGTTCTATTTTGTCCTTATAAATATCAATAAAGATATTAGGTGGCATGATTTACTATTAAGTGTTAACATTGCTCATAATCCTCTTTTTTTTTTATTATAAGATTATTATTATTATTATTATTATTTAATTCTATATGTAGCCATGATTTTTTATTTTATTTATTATTATTTTTTGGTCACAGGTTGCAGGTTACGCGGTTGGATATAAAAAACACTTGACTTTTGCCACTGTAAGAGCTTCTGGGCATTTGGTGCCGCGTGACCAGCCCAAAAATGCGCTTACTTTGTTTGCCTCCTTTTTGGAGGGAAAATTGCCACCGGAAAAAAAACAAGAAATAGTTTAGTTTTATACGTTTTGTTATGTGCGTGAAATAAGGTTAGAACCACAAAATAAATGTATAAGTAATCTATATATATATATAATTACTAGCTATGGCATTTAAGAAAACCTCATAAATAAAACCTCTAAATTTTCCCTCCATTTTCGGTTATAAAATTTATCATCAATATTTTTTTACTTCTCAACTAATACATCCTATGGAGTGTAATCATGTATTTTTCTATTATATTATATAATAGTTAATGCTAATAGTAACTAATAATAATTCACAATAAATATAAATTATATAATTATAAACAATTGTTTCAAGTTATTTATTTTTAACATCAATATTATCGTTTTCCTTTATATCTCATGAATTTTTTTTAAAAAAATAATTAGTAAATAGTTTTAATAGCATAGTCAAACAACTTTAAAATCTTGTGAACAATTGTTTTTGTAATAATAATAATAATAATAATAATAATAATAATAATCAAACTGTTATTATCTAATGATAATATATAATTGTTTATAAAAATAAATAATTGTTATTTTATTATTTCTAATGATCAAATTTTCAAATTGAAATATGTTAATTATCGATAATTTTAATATTAAATTCTCATATATTACTTATAATATTTTATTATATATCTGTGCATGTGAACAATATGATTACTAGTAATATTTAAGAGTTGGATTTTTGAGTAAAAAATATAAAGATATTGTTCAAAACTTCAACCAGTCAAAACCAATTTTGTAGCCAGTCAGTATTTAGGAATTTTTATGCATTTTTGGAACCTTTTTGTAATATTTCATGCACTTCAGTAGTTTGACTCAAAAAACTAGGTATCCTCCAAGCAAATTTGACTAATACCATTGTCGTATTATATGACAAGTTTTTCTATAAAGTTAGCTGAGCAAACATAGTTTACATAGCAATTAAAAAAATTCCAATTAAAAGAATTATTTGTATTTTTTAATTAACTATAATATATATATAGAGAGAAAGAGAGAGAGAATGGATCATATGAGAATGATAGACAATGAAAGAAATAAGAATGATAGTAGACCATTAAATTCATCAAATCAATGGACATGATCAAGTCAACATTAATAATACCAGTCAAATAAGGAGTGGCAATACGATTAATAATAAGTTGAAGTAAATATATACAATTAACCATTAAATAAGGACAAAATAGACATTTCTACTTTCCACTCATCCACCCACGTGGACCCCACCCATCCCACCAACCACACCAATAATCACCCTCTCTCACACACACAAACAAATACTTTCTCTCACATATTCACGACACACGAACAAACACACACATTAATTCTCACCGGCACCACCCCAAATGGCCCAAATCTTGCTGAATCTGCCGCCGACAATCAGCCACAACCCGACCGGCCGCTGCCGCCAACATCCGTGCAATCATGTTTCAACGCCGCCGCAATCGTGCCCTGAATTGCCCAGATCTCACCGCCTTCAATCGCGGCATCTCGCCGGAGTTCCTCGTCGTCGCGCTGACTGTTTTCAACCCTCTTCCTCTAGCTATTTCCGGTGAGAACTATTTGAAAGAGACGTTCGTACAAGACCAGCAAAAGGGCGGCAGCGGTGTGTAATTGAATATGGCAACGGATGTTGGGACTGGCCGGCTTCGAAATGAGAAGACGAGAATCGGCCGACGAGAGGTGGCGGCCGGCGAGAAGGAACTGCCGTCGAGAAGTGGCGTGAGAATGGTGATGACAGATGCTGGGTATTGAGGGGTCTAATTTCGAAAATTAGACAACTCTTAGGGACTCATATGCAATTAAGAAAATTTAATTATATCTCACTTTAGTCCTTGGGTCAAATTCACAATTTATTAAAAATCACATGCTGAAAATAATAATATTTTTACATAGTAATAATAAATAACAATATTATAATTTTTTTGTTATCTAATTAAATTCAAGGAAAACGTCGAAAACTAAATGACATAATCGAGTTTTTTTAATGTAAAAAATGATAATCGAACCAAAATTTTAAAATTCGAAATGAAAATTTTGATTGCGACATAACCGTTTAATTTTTCGGTTAACATAATAAACAAAGTAACCGATATAAATTATATTATTTATTATAAAAAATATGATTAGTACGGTGTGATTAACGTGTAAACGAAATTCGTACGTGCAATAATTAAAAAATAAATTATTATTTTTTAATTAAAACAATTTATATATATGTAAATGAAATATAAGGTACAATGTAACAGTTATTAATGTACATTATGAATTTTGATAAACATAAATATATTCAAATTTAACGAAAAATTGTATATTATGAATTTTGATAATACGAAATTTATATAGATAAACATGATATATCATGCATTAAATTGGTTGAAATCCTATCACATTATTTATTTTTTATTTTTTAAAAAATAAGTGATTTGCTTAATTTTTAAAAAATCAATACTTGAAATATTTAGCTCTGTCTGACGCGTGTTGTTGTAGCAAATTATTTTATGTTTTTACCGAGTACCGAATCAAAAGATTCGTTCCCCGGGTCGATATCTCTAGGAAGACGGTTCGGAATTTAGCGTTGGTCTTGATCACACACGAAAAGAACATAAGTCCTAAACACTCTAATCACGATTGATTTGGGGAATCAACTAAAACAAGCTAGAACTAGAAAAACAATTTAAAGAAATAACAATTAAATTTCTAGAGAAAAAGAAGAAGTTCTAGGGGTCGGGAAATCTCATCAAGTCTTAAACTATGTTGAACGCTTATTTGTTCGGTTACGAGATTTAACAAGCCTACACGTCTAGAGGGCTATGCTCAATAACTCTTCGTAACAAGAGCACAAACATAAACGTTAAACTCATTCAAACAAGCAACACATAGACAATACTTTTACGAACAAGTCTACTCTATACGAGCCTAAATCGACCGACGTCTCCCCTCTCGGTTCTAAACGTCGATTAACTAGGTTAAAATGGTGATCAATCAACTAACCCTATAATTCACACAACTCGTATAGAGTGAAAAAAAACATTCCTCATAATTCAAAACAAGAATCAAAATCCCTAACCCTAGGTGAATGGATTACCTCATGCTTAGATTCAATTTCATGTTAAACAGAACTAAAAACATAAAACTAATGAACAATAATAAAAGAAAATTGAAAAACTTACAATCGGATTAAGAGTTGCAAGATTTCAATCCAAATATCTTTGTGTCCAACAATCCAAGCATGAGAGAAAAAAAAGAAAAGCGGAGAAATTTTATCCTAACAATATTGAGTTTTTGGAGAGAAAAATTGAAAGGAACGATATTGGGGATTGTTCCTTAGGTCCGGGGGATCGTTTTGATATATAGTGCTCGAAAAACGGAGCTAAAACGAGTAAAAACGGAGAAAAATAAAAACAGGGTCGAACAGGTCGCGACTCGCGAGTCTGACGGGTCGTGGGGTTGCGCAGCTGGTCGGAGGCTCTGTTAAAGTCGTGAGTCGCGACTTTGCTCTCGCGAGTCGCGACTTTTCTCGCGAGTCGCGACTTTGGACTGCACTGCGCCATTTTACGTTTCGGGCTCGTTTGGGCTCGTCTGAACTCGGAATTGAGTTCCGTTTTTTGCTACGCGTCGCTAACGAACCCATCTATCCAATTGTGCTCTCGAAATCAACTTTTCCTGAAGATAAAATTCGCCCGAAACTCCCGACCTACACACCAAAAACGACAAAACACGAAGAAAACCGGGAAAACAAACTAAAAAATACCTAAAGACTCAAAATGAAGGAAAACACATAATAAAACACGAAACGGACTAAAAACTAAAGAAACGACCTAAAACGGGAGAAAAATAAAGATAAAATAAACACGAAAAACGCAACAAAAATAGGACAAACAACTCCCTCACACTTAAACCTTTGTCCGTCCCGAACAAAAAGAAAAGAAAAGAAAAGAACGATAAAAAAACTAAAACCGAGCATGGTCAACAGTCATTAACAAGATAGCCTCAACATGTTCAACTTCAACAATGAGCATTCAAATGGCATATACGAGCATCACACAACTACATGCTTGATCACTATACTTCAACATGGCGTTCTCTCAGTATGGGAATATATATATATGCCTCACTCGAATTCTTATACAGATAAAGATGGGTGCACTCAAATTGGTCGATAACAAGTTCAATCATATGCTTGCCCATTGTCTAACTTCTACTCTAAACCAATCAAAATCGAAACTAGTGCATCAAAAGGTCTTTCAAGGTTGTAACGTAGGCTCTTTGGTTAGGTAGGATAAATATAGGCTAAGTGGCTCGAATTCATTACATAACTCAAACACCTTACCCCAAGAATGATGCACTCAACCGGTTGCACAAACATACCGGATCTTCCCCCACACTTTTTCTAAAACCACACGTTTCACCCATCTTATTTCATTTTTTTCTTCTTTTTTTTTGTGTAAACCTTATTGGATATTTTATAATCCATTCGGCTACATTTTTTTTCTCTCTTTTTTTCTTTCGATTTTTTTTATGTGTGACCTTTTTTGGTCATTTTTTTTTCTTTTTTTTTTGTTTGGATAATATAAACAAACTCCAACAAACAACTCCGACAACCATCCCCTCCAATTCTTAACCCGCAACTCCAACAACGTCATCATCACGAGGTTATCAACAAAAATCAAATAAGGCTCAAAAGGGGAGACTAGGGAATAATTTGTAGAGAAGAAAAGGATAGAATACAATAAACGCCTTAATCATATACACAGTTCACAATTCTAATCAATTTATTTCAATGCAGACTCAGGGCAAGTTCTAATAAAACAAGAGCACGACCAATGTATCTTAAGAAACAAATAAGGCTCAAACCTCACTAGGTAGATATATGAATGCCAATCAAAGTAATCGACCAAGCACTTCATCACGCTATGCCTCATATGACCAACATCACAACTCATCGAATTTATCAAACAAGTCTTAACTAATCTTGAAATTTCCAAAGTCCATACTCACAAAAATACACAAAACCTACACTAGACCGGTCCACTACATAAGCATGCAAAATCCACGTAAACTCCCCCACACTTAAAATGAGGCAATGTCCTCATTGCTTTAACTCAAAACAGGAAGTCAAATACAAGGACAAAACAATTTCACAT